GATTTTTAATTTTTTGAGCGAAAACCATGCGTCGGACAAAGAAAACCCAGCAAATCAAATGTGCTCAAAAATGTATGGAGATTTTAAAAATAATTTTTAATTCAAGATAAAGCAGTGGCGTAGTATTTTTTTCGCCAAAAATATACATTTCAAAACTCGTACGTACGCCACTGGCAGAGGAAATTAAGAAAATTGTACATCAGAAAATGCGTCTTGAGGCATGGAACATATGTACCAAATATATACACCCTATATGTCCTTAATCACCCCCAGATCTATTTTTAATTCCATCTCAATGGGTAAGGTAGTGTGTCTACTTAGTCAGTGAAGTCAAGTATATGTGTGGCCCATCTAGTTTGCAAACACGAGAAGATATGAAATAGAAGAATTGTACTAGTATATAATGGAAGCCATGCTATTCTGGTTTCTGAGATCAAAAATATGAATTTCATTTCAGAATGTTTAATAAACTATAAATAATTGCCAAAGTCAGGATCACATAGAAGGGCACAACACCGACCTTGAGTTATAAATAAAAGATCAAGATCAAGTCTAAAACTTCCATCGAGTAGTCAAGGGGTATGTATGACTTTCAGAGGCATCTTGAGAGTTAGTCAAGGTCATGAGCATTTGTATCTTTTTGCTATGTGTTCACGATAAATAAACTGACTTCAACCTTCAAATGATTGATAAGATCATGGTGGAGGATCAAGATAACAATCAGATAGACAGAAAAAAGCTTTGAGCTCTACTGAAACTTTTGGTCACCCTGTATGTATGTCTACATTCAAAATAATACATAAAATTCTACAGAATACCAGATAGTTATCAAAATCCTATGTAATCACGTTTTGATGGGAATGATATACACGCATATTTTCATTGGCGAGCTGGGAACATTTTTCTCATAGAAAAATCATTGCAAATGTTGCTCATTGTTCAACAATAGAAGCCTCTGTTGCTAACTCCCCAATATGTAGTCCAGAACGTGAGATAATATAATTTGTAACAGAATATACATATAATGATACAGAATTCAAAATAAAATTTGGATATGCAAATTTCAAATCTGAATACATTTATTTTCCAGATATGCATCAGAGATTCGAAGTTTGGAACTGCTCTCGTAATCACCAGTTCAGAAATGAGCGGAGGATACATTTTAGGGTTCAAAGTTGATCCGGAAGAAAAGCTTCAGAATCTATTCAAGGAACTCACTTCTCTCCACACGGTTTATACAACGAAACCCATTTTTGGAGTTGAATTTCAAAGTTATTCTGGTAAAGATGACGTGGAGTCCAATAATAACTTGACCGAAGAGTACGAAGTCCTGGAAGATTTGAAAGGAGAAATCTCTAATACCATTACAGCATATTTGGCTGATGAGGGGCACACTAAGGATGAAATTCCGGTTTACTCACCTGAACTGGGTCTAGCTGTTGAGAGGATCAAAGAAGGTTACACCATACAAAAGCTGTGGGAAGTCATTCCTTCATGAAATCAATCAATTGAATTATGGAATGAATAAATTATTAGACGACATGCATTATTCCTATATCAATTTTTCCTCTGAATGAAGATAAACAGACTGACAACTGTGAAAATATTGAAGAGATACTTACCTTTTGCTGTGGTATCTGACTCATATTTATAACTCAAAAGTGCATTAGTAACTCAGAAGTAGTAGAACCTGTAACCTTCCTCAAAAAACTAATGATGCTTTCACTTTCCTGGGGAAAAAATGGTCTGATGGGTGTCCTGGGAAGTGGACCCCTGCCTCTTATCAAATTCAATGGGAACTTCCAAAATGTTAGATATCTTACTCACATGAGTTCATAGCCCTTAACCAGGATTTTCGAACTATTCGATTCATTCATTCTAATGAGTGTATTAACCTTCCCAAATCTGTTCACTGTTTATTATATTATTTGGGTCGAGGCAAACGAAAACAGTGGCGATAAAAGCAGAGCGGAGAAAATGACAATATTGTTTCCAATATAACTGTTTTCTCCCAACACCAAACCCTTATTTTCAACACCTCGACACGTGTTTCGAACACCAAGTAATCATCTTCAAGAGGAACATTAAACTGAGTGATCATCTTCAACAGGAAGATGAATCTTCTTTTTGAAGATGATGATTGAAAAACGAGGTATTGAAAATAATAGTTTGGTGTTGGAATAAAACTCAAGTAATATTAAATGTTTTGATTATCTACGACTAGTTAGTGATGAGAGTGTCAATAATCTCCAGCTATTTTCACTGATGGATATATGTTGTACTTGGACCCAATTCTTCTTATCCTGTCCGATAATCCTCTGGTGTAGGGAAGTGCAAGCATTGGTTGTGACGGCTTCTCTTCCTTGCGAGGCTCCTAATTTTTTTCAGCTGAAGTCTGTTCCATCATCGCTTTGGAGTAGCCATTCCGTTGAAGATAATGTTTGATGATGTCTAGTTCCTTCTCCAGGCCTTCCTTCGTTTTACAGAGCCCGAAAGCACGGTCTGATAGAGTCTTGATGATTCCTCCTTTAGTCGATTGATGGTGATTGAATTCGTGATTCAGATACTGTTCCATGTGAGTGGGTTTTCGGTATACGGATGTTTTCCACGGTCCTCTTCACCAATACGTCTAAGAATGGCAATTCGTTGTGAACTTCCTTCTCCATTGTGAAAGTGATGGAAGGTCTTATGCTGTTAATGTGTTTCAGGAAGGCATCTAGTTCAGTATTCCCATAGTTCCATATAATGAAGGTGTCGTTAACATATCTCAACCAGACTCGGGGTTTCTTCTTGTGGGCTTCTTCAATGTCCAGAGTTTCAAACCACTCCATATATATGTTGGCTATGACTGTTGGAGGTGGCGATCCCATTGACAGTCCCTCATCTTGTGTAAAGAACTCGTCATGTACACTGCGGTATACTTTAGACACATGTATACCTTAAAAGCACCTGTAGCAATGCTATCGTCGATTTTGTTGGAATTTATTTAGAAGAGTACTGAGTCCTCTTAGGCCGTTTTCCAGACCCTCGATTGTATTTCTAACAATATACCTGCTTGAATTGGGGAGCATCTTGGACGATAGCTCCTCTGAAAAAATGTAAACGAATATATGCACAGCCTCAAACAAATAGCAGACATAACCAAGACCCCAAATGGTTTCACAGCGTACAAACAGGTCAAAAAAGAATATGGTAATGAACTGATATCCGCTAAAAAAATGGGGTATGATGAATACATTTCTTCGTCCAATAATAAATCTGAAGCTTGCTGGAAAATAATAAATTTCGAGAGAAATGAATACGATTTAAAACCAACAATCGAACTATCATCTGATGAGATGAACAACTTTTTCAGTAACATTGCTGATAATATCATTAATTCTCTCCCGTATGTTGCAAACGAGGAGCTTTTA